GGATTTAAGCATTCTTCGAAATGTAAGTATACAAGTCAACAAAATATATAACACTGTTCTAGTGGTTTTTGGATATTTTAATAAATTCTTTAATTCTGATGCAATGTTGACTTTATTGCCAGATTTGAAGTATTAATAGCTTTTCTGATTTATTATGAGCATATTTGTTTTCCTGTCTTCGGTTTCTTGTATTAGTCGCAGAGTAGCATTTAACAAAATGACATTACTCCGACAGAGTAATTAATTGGTTTGGTTGCAAATTAGCAAGCATCTCTTGCTTCAGGAAGGACTCCTGCCTTGATAACAACCAGGTGCCACTGCAAAGTACAGCAGGAAGGCCGTGTATCAGCTAGCAGAGGACGAGCAGCGATTTGATATCATGCCTTGATATCAGCAAAACAACACTTTTCACTGTGTTTATGAAGAACTGCAGTGTTGAATGTAGGCTCATTTTATCCCTCCAGTTTTTGTAATAAGCTTTTTTTGTGAGGTTGTTTTAGCCACCTCTTAGTCTACCAGACAGTCTATATTAGATAATGTGAGAGGATGGTGTTTTCTCTCAGTACGAGGTTTTAATACAAATACTGAGTTGAATGGAATTCCTAAGAGAATGTTATAAGAGCAGTCACACTTTCATACTGTAAATACACCTTACTGTATTTGTCGGTCTTCACCAATCATTTTAGTCTGTTTAAAGGGGTCATATGATGTTGCTAAAAAGAACATTATTTTGTGTATTTGGTGTAATGAAATGTGTTTATGTGGTTTAAGGTTAAAAAAACACATTATTTTCCACATACTGAATATTATTGTTTCTCCTCTATGCCCCGCCTTTCTGAAACGCGTCGATTTTTACAAAGCTCATCGGTCTGAAAAGCGAGGTGTGCTCTGATTGGCCAGCTATCCAGTGCGTTGTGATTGGCCGAATACCTCAAGCGTGTGACGGAAATGTTACGCCCCTTACCATACTGTGATGCCCTGTCCGGCAGAAGCGACGAGACATAAACATTAAAACCCATTATAAACGAGGCATTTGTTGCATCCAGTGGGGACATAATTACGGATTATAATGACTTATACGGTCTTTTTACGCGTTGCATTGCATCGTGCCGTGTAAACATAAAACCTTGTCTGAATTTGTGATCGGAGAAATGACAAACAACAAGTGCTACTCTACACTGCTCAAAACTCGCGTTTGAATCGTCAGTGGCAAATTCTTTAAATATAAAAAATGTACTTGCAGTCTGTGAGTCAGAACCAGCGACCTTGTTTCCTCAGCGACCAGCACGGATCAGCTCCAGGCATGACAAAGCGGATATCGTCCTCTTTTGGAAGGCCAAACAAAGTAGTTTCGCTTTCACAACGAAACACACAGCGCCTTCACGACATGGCGGTGGAGGGAACAATACTACAGCGAGAATAAAAGTTACGCCTTCTTTATTTGCGTGAACATTTGGGCGGCGTTATGCAAATCTTCCCACATCGTGACATAGACATGTGGGGGCGTGTTAGAACGAGCCGTTTTAGGTAGGCGTGGTTGACTCTTAACTTTTATAAAGAATATCTCTTTGGATTTGAGACTTTAGTCTTTGCAACTTTACAGATCTTCTTTATGCACCAAGAGCTTGTAACACTCCAAAGAGAAAGGAAAAATTGAAATTGCATAATATGACCCCTTTAAATCCTGCCCTTATTTCACATTCGACCCCAAGCTTGTAATTCAGATCTGCCTTCATGTAATGAGCAATTAATAAATTAAATCAAGCCCCTGCTTTACATTTTTTTTTTCTTTTTTGATAACCTATGTGCTCAGATGTACGTCATGATACAGAAATAAAAAAATGGTAACACATAGATTAGGGAACCCATGTTTGCTATTAACTAAGATTTTCCCCTCAATAAACTCTTAATTGGCTGTTTATTAATAGTAGGGTAGTTGTTAAGTTTAAGTATTGGGTTGAGTTAAGGGATCTAGAATATGGTTATGCAGAATAAGGCATTACTATATGACTAATAATTACTAATAAACAGCTAATAAGCTAGTAATATGCATGCTAATAAGCAAGTTAATATAGTGAGAATTGGTCCTTAAAGTGTTTTCAAAAAAATCTGTCGCTACTTACATTACATCATGACTTAAAGGGTTTTTTGTCTGGTTTTAGTGAATGTAAAGTCTCTAAGATGATTCTTACAGTTTTAGATTTGTGACTACAGGATAGTAATCCTGCTGTAAAGTTGTGTCTGACTTATTGTATTTTCAAAACATACATTGACGCCTCCACAATGTTGTAATTTCCAGTTTTATTGAGCTCAGATTTTCTTTGAGTTTTGGAGGTGTGTCAATTAAATTTGATAGGGACAAATTAGTCATGATTGAAGTTGTAATTGTCAATCTTTGTTCTATAATTACAGTGTAGGTTTATCAATTTAGCATAATAACTGACTGTAATTAATTATATTAAAATTATTGAATATAGAAAAAAAAACAGACCACATCTTCGGTCGTACATGGAAAAACTGAAGCCTCAAATGGCGTTTTTAAAAAGCTGAATCTTCTTTCAAATGAAAACATCAGTGATAAGCTTACATTTATTATGGAATTACAACAAACAATATTGTTGTAATGTCTGTTTAATGACTTAGTAATGTCCATTTAATGATTTGCTCATCCGCCACAACAATAACTTTTAATTATCTTCATTTGTGGGCTTTTCTTAGTAAATATTATGATTTAATTTGATTAATTAATGAGCATATCATGTAATTAATGTGATTAACATTTTAATTGATTGGCACCTGTAGTATGCATTCGTACTGAATAATGCTAAATACTGCTCATGTAGCTAGTTTATGGGCTGACTTGGCTTGGCATATCTCAACATCATTGTGCATGGCAGCATAAGAATGATAAAATACATAGTTAACCCATCAATTACATATATTATGCATATTTGCACTTCATTTTGTTGCATTAGCACTAAAAACATTGTGTTTCTCAGAAAGTAAAAAAGAGAAATAAATATTAGTGTTAGTTTTTCTCTGACTGAAATCACTTGAATGCACATCACGTCGTAATTATGATTTCTGAACTCGTAAGTGGGAACTTCCCAGGAGGTCTTCAAGGCGATGCTGTCTGTGAGCACGCCAGGCTCAAACCCGGTGTGTGGTTCAGACCGCCGCGACGTGTTTATCATTTGGCAGGAGACTCAACCCTCCACGCCCAGCTAAACGACCCAGAGCTGATCTGGAGAGCCATGCTTAGTTACTGAAGAATCAGCTGTTGACAGCAGCTATTTGGGGACTTCACCCCTGTGGCTTTGGTGAAAACAACAAGCGCAGGGGCTTTGGAACATCAGCTTCCAGTCCTTGATTGTTAAGAGATCACAAGCTTACACATACTCACAGTCCCCTATAGACAGGCATAGTGATAGGCTTGTGTTCTTTCAGCCCACTGGATGGGTGTTGTGCCGTACAGCTATAATCACACCCATCATATCCAGATGACCAAAACACTGGGTCACAAGTGTGCAGCTACACACCAGTAGCTAAACACGACTGACCCTACAACAAACAGACATGGGGTGGGTGAGAGGAGTGTTTTTCCATGACTTGTTTATCCACAGAGTATTTAAAGTGACACACCCAGGGGCTGAGAAGTTATGGATTAAAAACAAAGTAATTTTGTAGATTATGTAGTCTCATTTTTGCTAAATCAAATTGTAGGTTGCTCTGCAGTACGAGGCAGGTTTCTGCAGAAACGGTTCTGACTCAACAGCCAAATTGCTCATAGATGTGCAAGGCCCGTTATTTATTGGCAAGCAGGCAACATTCCTCAGAGACCAAAAGACACAAATTACATGCATGCAGATGCAAATGCATCTGCATGCATGTGCTGGTGCTTAGTATGCACTAGGGGTGGTGGATGTATATGGAAATAAATCAGTGTTTTGGACTGATTCATTGAAACACAACTCAGTTGTCATTTATGTTACCAAGGTCTGGCATAGAAAATTAATGGCCTTAAGAAATGTAATAAAATAATGATCATAGTGTTTTTTTATGTATAAGTATTCATTTAAATTATTTATCACATTTAAATATTTAAATTTGTTTATATATAGATATATATAGATAATTAAATAAATAAATAATATTTAAAATAATATACATTATAATATATAATATATTATATTTTATATTACAATATTTAATAATGGTTTTCTATTTTAATATACTTTAAAATATAATTTATTCCTTATAGCCATTACTCCAGTCTTCAGTGTCACATGATCCTTAAGAAATCATTCTAATATGCTGATTTATTATCAATGTTGGAAAATGTTGCTGCTTAATATTTTTTTGGAACCTGTCATACTCTTTTCAGAATTATTTGGTAAATAAAATGAACAGCATATATATATATATATATAGTTTTATTAATTAATTTTTTTATAAATATTCAATATATCAGCTAGCCCTGGTATGCACCCATCTTGAGTGTATTCATCCATCCTAAGCACACAAACATGCGTGTGTGCCGATAAGGTGAACACACAGTGGGCTGAAATACCAGTGCTTGTATCAGCAATGTGTGTTTGCACTGCAAATAAGACTTCATAGTGTTGCTGGCAGATAGAAGCATCTTTAGGGTCGGGGTCATTCTTATTTTGAAAATGTGCTGCTCTCTGCCACCATTTACCTATCGTGTAAGTCGTGAGAGGCTAGGAACTTAGGAACTGCATAATCCTTTATAACAAGACTACATTTCTCTCTTATTTCCGAGTTCTACGATTCCCCTTGGACCTCAAAAGCACTTGTAATTGCCCATGTGCTCCTCTTTAGCATTCAGTAACCCGCCGTTTTAATGATACTATGAAAATGTATTGTGATGATTCTGAATTTTTTTATCTGGTTACTGTGTTTGATCTGGTAATTTATTATTATGAATTTCTGTTTCTGTGGCGTCTTCATTGATATGTGTCTCTTTCATTTTCGCTCAGATGAAAACTGGGATGACGACCAGCTCTTGGGCTTTGAGCCATGCAATGAAAACCTGGTTACGGGCTGTAACATAATTGATGGGAAGTGTGAATGTGACAGTGTACGAACATGCAACAACCCATTTGAGTTCGCTAGCCAGGAAGCCTGTCAGACAGCCCTGCAGAAGATTGAAGGTACCTCTTATTTCTCCATTCTTATTATTTTTCTCTCTCTGTCTAGCGTAAAAATTGTATGCGCATATCTTTCTGCAGTAGTCATAATGTCATCATGTTGTTTAATGCGTCCTTGATGGGTTTCATTTTTAAAATATGTTTGAACTCTCGATAGCTTGATTTTGTGAGCATACTTGAAAACAGGTTTTATAATGAGTCCCTGTACAATTGTTGCAAAGTAAAACTTGCATATTATTAAATATATCACAAATTGTATGTGTTCTTCTGCCATTTATTCTTCTTAATTATTTCTAATTAGCTTTGCTAACAAGCTTCCTCATTAGTTTTGAGAGAATCCAAATATAATCAATCTAAGTGTTAATATTTGGCATCATTGAAGGGATGATTTAACCTGTGAACTAATTTAAATGAATGCATATTAATAAAACTGGGAATGTCAGCGACAGTCAATGCCGTTTCATTTTTTTGTGCAAATGTGCAGTAGGTTATTTCTGACAAATAGCGTGACTTGGTTTGAGGACAACTTTACAGTCATTTGGCCCAAACTCAAGGCATGAAGCACTGATTGAGAGTGCTTGCAGGTCACCTACTCTCTTGACCAATTCTAACTCCAAAAGGGCAGTCTTGAGCTACAGGTGCCGCAAGTCAGCCGACTGGAGCGGCCCAAAGGAAGGGGCCTGTAGGACCCTGAGGACTACAGAAAAGTCCCAGGTCAGCACAGTATGAGGACGATTCAGTCTCCAAGCTCCCTTCAGAAACTTAACGACAAGGTCGTTTTTTGCCGACTGACTGGTCAGCCATGAGAGCATGATTCGCCGCGATGGCTGGCACATATACTTTGAGTGTGGAAGAGGTGCACCCCTAATCCAACAGCTCTTGCAGAAAGGTTAACATGGATGACACGTCACAGGAGCATGGGTCTTTGTTCTTTGCTGCACACCAGTCAGAAAAGACTGACAATTTAAGGGCATAGAGGCTTCTTCCTCGGCCCGGTAGTGGGTCGCGACCCGGTGGTTGGAGACCTCTGCGCTAGAGGAACCATTTCCACGGCTCCTTTTGCAAACAGAGTTTGTACTTCGGGCTGGAAAACATGAGCATCGTTGTCTTGTACCAAAGTTTGAATAATACCTCTGACGCAAGGCAGCTTGCGAGACAATTTGGAGTGTGAAACCTCGTTCTATGAAGCTGGAGCGCTTAAGCAGGAAGTGATGCATGCCTGTGACAACTTCTGAAATGCAGTGAAGCACTTGCAAATCCACCAGGCAGATTGCGGCAGAGGTGTGCAGCAACTGCCACTTCCCAAGGGGGGAGCTTGCCATACCCTTTTCTTCAGCGCTATCAACAGAGGTGAGGCGGCAGGCTTAGAAGAGTGCATTCATGCCTAGTAGGGGTGCATGCTGAGTTCTTCGTGAACTTCCGGGAAAAACTGCACCATCTCAGACAAGAGGTTTGATGACGACAGCAACAGCGGGCATCGTTCGTCTAAACGACTGCGGGCAGACTTTTCCGGAGCCGACCCTTCTAAGATGAGATTCTCCACAGCCTGGTTAGGATGCAAATCAGTTCGCTCTCCACGCTGGCCCGTGATAATTCATTGGGGAGAAGGGTGTCAGGATTCTCTCTAGAGCATGCCCAATCCTCCAGTCTTAAGCTGTCAGTGATATGGAATCATCAGTGACAGCATTCTCCTCTGATCCACCTAAAAAGATCAAACCGCTCGTTGCAGACGAGGGGTGCATATCCTCATGTGTAAAACACCGGCGGCTCAAAGTGCTGTGAGGAGAGTGAAACACGCAGGACCTGTGCCGGCATGAGATCACTCAAGCCTGGTTGCTCAGCCCTGTGACTCCACTGTTTCATCCTCCGATGTAGCTGGGAGGGAAGAAACGAGAGTGCGGGAGGGCCGAACCGCCTTCATTGAAGAAGGCGATTTGTGAGTGAAGCAGGGCAAGACTCATGCTCTTGCAGCGAGAGCAGTCTTCCTCTGCCAGGTTCTTCTATGGCAAGCAGCAGGCTGAGCTTCTTGCCTTGGCTTCTTTCTTCAGAGTCCAGCGTAGAGATGATCTTCATCGCTGAAGGAGAAAAATTCTGACGAATGGCACTCTCAGCCGACTTAGCACGTTACACGAACATGAACAAATCAGGCTTCAGTATCAGATTAAACAGGAGTTTCCCCATAATCCCTTATTTACACTGCACGTGTCTGCGGATTGTTACGGCTCAGACAAGGCCACCGGAGCTGATCGCAGCCACTCTAGTCAATGCTTGTGTTTACACCAGCCGTGCCGTGCCGCAGCATATTTCGGAAGCATCCCAGAAGCGACTCTCCACACCTCTTCACTAAAGGATTTTGGCAGACACCACGTCCAAGCCGCACAGTTAATACAAAACTGTACAATACTGTCAATTTCAAAATAAACACCCTGTGCATCTTATTCCACAACACTATATCTTCGCCAGGAGGCCAGAAATGGTATGTGAAATATAGAGACAAGATAGTTGAGGATGTATTTTAGATGACTATACACAGCTATATATCTCTTATTCTTGTCATTCATAACTGGACTTTTAAGTGTATTAACTTTGTAGTCTACAGCAGAACAAAGTAGGACATAGCAATAAACAGAATTAAACCAGACAAAACTAACATTTCAGACAACTTACCCATGTTAGAACACAAAAAATCAAGAAAAACCACGTCGGACAGGCAAATCATGTGGTCTTGCGAATCCTGTCGCTTTACTTCTGAAGTGCTGAGCGAAACAAAACCTTAAGAGCCGTAATGCGCCGCAGACGTATGCAGTGTAAATAAGGGGTAAGCATGTTAAACACAACAGACCATTCGATAGGGAAGCGTATTTTCTGCCTTTCCTAAGTGACTGCATAACAACGTGTTCGAAACCCCCGGAGCCGTGTTTTTTTTTTTTTTTTGCATGGTTGTTTGTTCCAATTCCCTTTCTTTTATAAAGGCTGGGGTAGCAAAAGAGGCAATTTGCTTATATGATTAAACAAAAGGCTGATAAGGTTACTTTTAGAGCTATCAGAATGCAAATGTTGTGTTGAAAAATGCGGTCCCTGATGGATACTTGCTTGCATTCTCTGAGCCTGCCTGTGTATTGAGTCTGAGCTGGTGGCACAGTGGCAATTAAACATAAAAATACATGCTTGCTATCACAACGGTCCTAGCACGGGTGCAGGGCCTTGTTGTTTTATTGCGGCAGGTGTACTTTTCTTCATCCCTGAAGCAGGCGGTGGCTATTTTTGAAGGTTTACTCCGTTTTGTTTTACTAATAGGTGCTTGTCATGTTGTTTTGACTAGTGCTTCAGAGTTTTTGCAGTTGTCACTTGTTTATTGTGATGTTGTGTCTAGTCTGGGATGTTGTATTGCTTGTCTATTTGTAGAGCTGTCAATTTGCTTGAAATGTTTTGTCTAATAGATACTTAATTTTCTTGTTGTGTAGCTCACTGTTGTTGTCTATCATTTTAATGTCTTTGTCCCTTTACAGTGTTTAATTAGTTGTTCCAAGCTGATAAAACGGGCAAATAATCTCAGACTTACACTGAGCAAAACCCTGCTGAAAAAATATAAAAGAGAGTTGAAGGTGGGCTCTTTTGACTGGGACCACCCTGGCAACACACTAACAACCGCAGAAATGCAACCCCTTGCTCATTGTAAAAACCTGCCTGTGGCAAACTTTCAGCAAAATTATATTACATTGCTCATTGCACGTTTTAATGTGAAATGTCCAGAAAGTGGCACTAAAAATGTGTTCAATTCTTCCTGAAAGAGATGAACGTGAATGTGGCAAGATTCTAGATCACAAGTTCAGTGCTGTACCAGGTGCGCTACCAAGCAATTTTACTGTGCTAGAAAAGCAGTATACATGAAGCTGGTTATGCCATGCAAACATCAAAATGTATTAGTTTACAAATCATGCACTATGGTAAAAGTGTTTTGAGGTCATAGCATAGTATGTGCAAGGAAACCGTGGAAAAAATGTCTTTATTAATCAATAATCTGCCTCATAATAATAATAATAATAATGTGGATAAAGGAATAAAAGTTGTTGGTATTTTACTGCCAATAATGTTCATTGTAGCTTGAAACTTTAGTGAATTCTATGTATAGGTATGTTTTTGCTCAAATGTAGATAGAGATATGTTTTTCCCAATAAACCTATGTTGCAGAAATGGCCAAAAAACTACTTGGAACATCTTTGCAAACGTTAAATTTGCACAGGCAAACAGCACTCACAATTTTTCATATTTATTGTATATATATATATATATTATATTTGTTTTAGTGTTTTTATTGCTTCGTATCTGAAGATTTGTCCGTTTTAATGCAATTATGGGAGTCAAAAGTCATTTGTTTTGCTCATGCTAGTCCAATAAAATAAGTTTTTACAGAGCGTGTAGAGACACTACTCACCTAAATGGCGTACATAATACACTTTTTGTTGCTTGAGAACGTAATGCATTTTCTGGCTGTTGCGTAAAGTTGTTTTTCCTCCAATCTCCTCATACATCTGTTTGCGTTCAGTGCCATGAGGAGCGTGGGCCAAAGCACATGTTTTGCAGTGTTGTAATGGTATGTGCTCAGCAGTTATCATTTGCATAAGAAAAACATTACTGTCGTGATTTATCAACCTGGCCATCTTTTGTGTCTACTGTAGAGTCAGCAGACATTGTAAGATTTTATTGATTTTACATTAAACAATTGCTTCTGTCACACAGAATTGGAGTCGTCGCTGTGTAGCGAATTTAGCTCACAACAGGAAATATGAATAATTAACCATAACTAGTTATAATTAACTATTCATATTTTAGATCCGCTGTAGATATTTAGCTGACCACTCAGGGTCAACTGTCTTGTCAATTCTAAGAACGTTAATTTCCTGGTTAAGGGAAATAACTTTCTTACTGTACAATTCTACCAAGCTTGTAACGTAAATCTGCATGATTAGTGACTCCGGTTATGAGCAAACAATGAACACGTC